CCTCGCGGGGTTGCCCCTCGCTGGATACTGTGTTGTCAGATGCGACCGCCGGGTTCCGGACTGCAGACGGGTTCTAGGCCGGGATGCTTTCAGAATCGACTCGAGATTATCCCGTGCCGATGTCCCCTTGCTGGTCATATTGGTGGTGACCCTCGGAAATTCTCCATCTTCGACTACTCTTCTTCTTCGTCAGAAACGCCTAGGTCTTGGTTTTGACGTTTCAGTACTAAGTCTTTCGAAAACCGAAACTCTTTCAGGGACCGCCTTGATGCAGTTGCACTCAGACAATACTGCTCGAATGAGTTTGGAACAGGGACATTGGGTCTCTAGTCCTCTAGGACTCCTCTTCCTGGTTTTTCTCATGCTCCCATCACGGTAGCACAACTCGTCAGTTTGACAATCGGAGTAACCTATCGTGTGTGGGCACGACTTCTCAGGTATAACGTTATCGTCATCAGACGATAATGTTTCCTTCTGAGGGCGGACTGCCTTCTTCGGGCTTTCGAAAGTCACGCGCCTTGAAACATGCCATTTTGGGCGTGAGTTCTCAGCGGGCTCCTGGACTTCGATGCGCAAATTAGCACGCGCAGCTACCGTGAACTCCTTGTCATGTTGAAGGTGGCGGTGACCCCAACATGTTGAGTCGTTCGGGGCTTCTTCATCGGGCCCAAACGTTCTTGGGCTGGAGCTTTGCCTCTCTCATCGGGAATTGGACCGAGGCGCTCCAAGACTGACTTTCTCCTTCGGGATGATTCTGCACGATCTCCCGGAGTAGCTATTGGAATTATCGGCGACTTTGGTTGATTCGCCGGAGGTTGACCTTGCTTCGAAGGCTGCAACAATTTAGCCTTAGCCTGAATCGCCGTTTCAGACTTCGGCTTCCATACTTGGTGGGTTGGTGGCGGCTTCTTGGCCACGTCCTTCTGCAGTCTTCTACGGGCTTCTTGAACTTGAGCCCGTGCCTGCGCTGATAGTGCGCGGCGCTTGCGAATGCGCTCCTCCAGTGTTGAACGGTTCCGTTTGACATAGACCCATTCGTTCGTTGGCGGCTTGGAGGAGTTGCCATTCATCGGTCGTTGAGGCTGTTTGCCTCTCCTGTTCTTCAGATCCGCATTGTAGCGGATTCCATCGGTGGACTCCATCGCTTTGGCGAATTCTTTGGCCAAGCGTTGGCGTCGCCTTTGGCGGGCTCTCTTTGAGAGAGTCACCGCTCCTTTGGTGACGGAGGAATTGGTTGGAACCAGCTTGATCTGGTTGGAGGTTGGTGGAGCCTCCCCCGACGCAACTTTGGCGTTAATCAGGGTGAGATCGTCGTTGGTAGCTTCAACTTCTTCGTACCAACGTACCTTTCTCCTGGAGGAGAACTTCTTGGACTTACGAGGGGAGGTCGATCCGGACGAGGATGATAGATACTCCTCGAACTTCTGTTGGTCGAATTCGTACTCGACCTCCTCTTCGACCGGGATTGAGATCCGCGGCTGCGACGCATCGATCTCGGCAGCGAGATCGGTGGCTCCCACTGTGGTCGCCAGATTGTTCGGGAGAAAAATTGTTGCTTTCTTCATTGATTCCATCGATTACAAAGATCCGGTCTTTTTATAAGATCTGGTTACAACGAGATCAAAAAAAGAAATAAAAATTACAACTTTCCTTTTTCGAACAAATCGCGAGCTCCTGTTTTGCAGTCACTCGCTTTGGTGGGTTCTTCGCCTGTGCCGGGGTTTATCCGTGGACTACCGCGTGATCTAGATCCAGTCGGATCTACACGATATAACGGGTATTATTTCGCAAAGGAAATAATAGCCGGGGGGGATTAATTCACCAAGGAAATAATCGCCCTCTCGGGATCAAAGGCCAAGTTTTGATCCGGAGTATTACTTCGTGTAGATCTCAGATCTGATCTCTCTCTCTTTCGAACTCCTGCCTTTTGTGACGTGGATGCTCGCCAAGAACCAGATCTGAATGTCCAAGTCCTCAAGTCTTCAAAACTCCAAAGTTAATTCTCAATTCGGCAGAGTTTCGGCTCCAAAAGTTCCAACCCTTCACAAATGAGCCATGCCCCTCTATTTATAGGCACTCAGAACTGTGCCCGGGCACAGATCTGGCCGGCCACCTCTAGGTGGCTCGGCCACCGAGCCACCTCTTGGTGGCTCGGTTTTGGCCATGTCCTGCCATGGTATTGTGCCGTTTTTGCCGTTTTTCCGGTTTCACTTGTGATTGGACTCTGATTTGTTGATCTGATTCCTATGGCAGTAAATCCGCTTGCGCGTTCGAGTCGAATACCGTTCCACGTTCGGGATTGACTCGTGTACCTCCCGAACCGTTAGCTTGATCCGGCACAGCCGGAATGAATGCATTCCGTGCTGTTGCGCTGTCGATTCGTTAACCTCGTCCGCCTCTCGTTAATTCGCCGCTTACGTGGTGTCAACTTGGCTTCCGGGTGTGGAGCTGAGCTCGTGTTTAAATCGTCACCCATGTTCGTTCGTTGTGCCGACTGTGCTAAGACCTATAGGACATTTATACGCCTGTCATAGGATACGGTCAATCGCTAACACGCGTGCCGATCCCTTGACCCGTAAATAAGGACAAAGACCACATATTAACATTCGTGCAGCTTTTGTTGTTTTTGTTAATTTACATAACACCATAATCCGTGCCTCACACGCATGGGGAATTTTATCCCGAAGCCTAAGCAGGGATAAGCCAATGCCTAACACGCGTTGCCGGTTTAGTCTTTGAACGATTGAAGAAGACACCAGAATCCGAGTCTAGGGACTTTTATCCTGAATCCTAAGTAAGGATAAGTCAACGCCTAACACGCATTGCTGGGTAGCCTGTTCCCGTAACAATGGCGAAGTCTACATATTCGAAGTCGTAGCATCAAGTCTAAGGGAGTTCATTCCTTTAGTACAACGCCACATTCGGAATGGATTTAAACAATCCGCTTGCTAGCCCGACTCAAACGGTAGTCGGTAAAGGCACATCAAATCCGTTGATGGCTGAGGATTTGCCAAAAATCTTAAGTCTACATCTAACACACGTTGCCGGGTAGTCTATTCCCGTGAGAAAGACGAAGTCTACGTATTCAATGTCGTAGCACTAAAAGAGTTAACTCTGTTAGCCCAACGTTATGTGCAGAACGGATCTAAACAATCTACATGCTAGCCCGACTCAAACGGTAGTCGGTAAAGGCTCATCAAACCCGTTGAGGGCTGAGAATTTGCCAAAAATTCTATAAATGCGAGTCATTGACGCACCAGCTCCACTAGTTGGTCTCGTGACTTGAGCATCTAACAACTTCAGGATAAGATCTATACATGCAGATGAACCAGCTTTAACAGTTGGTCCTGTAACCCGATATTTGGGACCACCATGCTCCAAGACCTTAAGAACTTAAACTGTGTAGACTCCAGCAAACGTACGAGTATAAACTGTGTTAACACCAGTCAACGCGTTGCGACCAAAAGTCAACGTTGGTTGATCCGAAACCCTAGGTCAACGTCGGTCAACGCGTAACCCTAGGTCAACGCCGGTCAACGCGTTGTGACAAAAAATCAGCATATAGCGATCTGAAACCCTAAGTCAGCACCATACCACGGAGGTAGTCAGTTCTAAGTCAACTCAATGACACGAGCCAAACTCAACCCATCAGTTCTAGATTCGAGACTCCGACGACGGCCAGACGATAAACGCAGCGCCGAAAGAACTTCAGCTATTCGTCAAAGTATCGAATGGATTGAAAATCGAAGGAGTCAAGAATTGAAGCTAACTATAGGTCCTTTACACCGACCGAAGGCTGGACCAATCACATCAAAAGTATTCCAGCCTCTTCTATAAAAGAAACGAGTCTGGAACGCTTTGGAGGGGGTATCTGTAGGCATCAAAAATTACCTATAGGTTTCCACGAACGGCTCGGCGCTAAGAAAAGACGATGAACGTCACTATCCAATTCACAGAAGCTTGATTGACGTCGACGAACGCCTAAAGTGGATCGACGAACTATGTGGAGTAACGGAATTTCAGAATGACGGAGACACGAACCAATCGGGAGCCTCGTGTCGCTTACAAAAGGCGAAACGCCCTTCGTGTATCATCCACTCCATAGATGATTCAATCATGGGATCTTGTAGATCTCCTCGCTAGCTTTCCAACGCACTTTGAATCATTCAAATCCGAGTTCGGACGAAGAAGTTACGGAAGCAACGGACAAACGTGCGGGCAAAAGAAGCGTCTCAGCTGAGTTGAGACACCATGGGGTGTCTCGGCCCAACCGAGACACCTTAGGGTGTCTCGGCCGAGGCCGAGACACCCAAGGGTGTCTCGGCCTCGCTGAGACATCCAAGGGTGTCTCCAGCCCTAAAAACTGATCGTTATGCGGTTTTAACCGCCCGAACTTAAGTCTCAGGCCTTCATTTTTCTAGATCTGGAATTCTCGAGCGTTGGCGAAGCGCTGCCGGATTGAAGATCAAAAGTGCACGAATTTCAGAGAGGAGGAGGAGTAGAGATCTGATCGAGTTCGTCGGCATAAAGAAGAGAAGCTCGTCAGATCTGAAGTTCCCCGGGTCCGTTCCTTAAGATTATCCCGTTGCGATAATATTAAGAAGATCAATTATCTCGCCGGTGCCGAGATAAGCGCTACGGTTTCTTGATTCCTTTGCGAATCAACGAAGCTCTGCCCGATTTTTTAGCAATCAGATCTGATCGACGGTGGTCCACGGATAAACCCCGGCACAGGCAAAGATCCCACGCAAGCAGAAGACCGATAAACGATCTCTGCGTTTGTTTGATAAAGTTATAAACTTTTTTATTTTCATTGTGTAAGAAAAGGGGTGCAAAGATGAGGCTGAAAATAGTTCACCGAAACAAATAGTTCATAATATAATATGTTTATGCCATATTCCTAGTAAATCTGTATGTCAGTGGAATTTAATTAAGATCGAAGCCGTACGTATAACTTCAGACTATCATAAATCTTGCAACAGAAACAACTAACTACTTACGCCTTGGTGCCGGCATAAACTGAAAAGAGCGGAAAAGACGGCACCACCACCGACGACCCGGATCCGATATTCATCCCGCGCTCGCCTTTTCCTCTCGTCCAATCCCTTTTCAAAATACACCCTCGTCACTCGTGTCAACGCCTCCAGTTCACGTTTCACCATCTCCATCCATCTTTCATCAACCGCGCTTCAACCGAAGTACTTGGCGTGCCGGTTCGAGCGCCCGGCGTGTTAACGCAAGGACGCCGACGTCCAAGCCGCAACAGTTTCTCGATGCTCCTGAGATCCGACGTCAAGTCGCACCGCGAAGTCAATCGACCCAAGACCTTTAATGCGAACGTCCGTGCTTCTCTTTGATGCCAGGCGCCGACGACTTCGATTTTTTAGGGTTTCGGACCTATGAGGATGAGGGAGCTTCTTGGCGGGCGAGTTCGAAGGCATGGCGCGACCGATGTCCCTTGGGTTGGCCGGTGACGGATGGCCGGCATGAGCCGTAGTGGGCCTTGAGTCTTTGCGGCGCGGAGGAAGAAGGCGTAGGCGTAGTAGAGGGAGGAGAGGGTGAGTTTGGTGAGGGAGAGGAGGCCGAGGAGGGAGAGGAGGAGGAGGACAGGAGGCATAGCTGCTCTGTTTAGTGAGCTGTTAGTGATCTCACAAGAATAGATGACATGTATAACAAAAGACCCACACTGGTTTTTATGGACGTGAAATGTACATGATTAAATATTAAAATTATTTATTTATTTTATATTATTATAAATATGCTAGATTTATTTTGAGTTCAAATACGTAAAATGATTGAAATATCAATTTAGCCTATAAAGTGACACACTCTGACCAATAAGGCCTAAACAATGACGCCGACGACAATAACACCTATAAATTGACACGGTTAACCATTTAAACCTATTCAGGTCACCAAAATTTTGGTTTGACCGTGAAAAGTATAAAATTTTCAATCACCCAAAACAAAATGACTAACCCAATGGTAAAATCTGGGTTATACGCGTATATAGCACTTTCAATCACCCAAAACAAAATTTTCAATAGAATGCCATAAGATATTTCATTTTACCTTTCAGTTATTTTTTGGTTATCAACTTATATTTGCTTTAGTACCTTGGGTGAAAACCCATTAAACAATGATTAATTCTTGGTAGTGGTATTATCTACATACTACTATACAGAATTTGGTTCAACCTAGTTTCGGCATTAATTAATGGATTAGTACGTCCAACCACTTAGCATAAATACATGAAACCTATTCCTAACCAATATTTTTGACTAATTTTTTTGTGCTGCTGATATTAATCAGCCGATGATATGGGAGAAAGTACCCACTATCGTCTCCACACCAACTCATCAGTACATAACCAATCAATAATTGCAAGTGCTCTCCTATAACACTCCATCATCTATACTAAATTGAAAATTAATTTGATTCTTGTTGTAAAACTAATAAAGTAGAGTAGAGAAAGTAGACAAGGAATAGAAAGCATTTTATTTCCTCAATTTCTCATTGCAAAGTAAGGTAGAAATATCTCTATTTATATACAAACTAAGATGATGATACATGAATCATATTAATTACTCATAGAGAATATCAAGGGGTAATACATGTATCAATCTCTTTGAGAGAAACTAAATGGACATCCACATCATTTAATTGTTTCATAACATTCCTCCTTGGATGTCCAACATTACACAAAGAATATGTCTCGTTAAAACCTTACTACGAAAAAACCAGTGGGGAAAAAAAATCCTAGTGAAGGAAAAAGAGTACACTATTCTTGTGTATTAGTTTCTCCCCCTGATTCAAATATAAAAAGAGTACACTATTCTTGTGTATTAGTTTCTCCCCCTGATTCAAATATCATTTGAGATCTTTCAACTGACGCATTCCAATATTTTTTACCTATTAGTTTCTCCCCCTGATTCAAATATCATTTGAGATCTTTCAACTGACGCATTCCAATATTTTTTACCAATTTCTCAAAATTTACAGTCGATAATGCCTTGGTGAATAAATCTGTCAGATTATCACTCGATTAGATTTCTAGCACAACTATTTCACCATTCTTTTGCAAATCATGTGTAAAGAAGAATTTTAGTGAAATGTGTTTCGTTCTATCTCCTTTAATATATCCTCCTTTTAATTGAGCTATACAAGCTGCATTGTCTTCAAATAAAATAGTCGGAGGATTTTTATTTTCAGGAGACAATCCACTATTCTTTCGGATATAGTGGAACATTGACCTTAGCCAAATACATTCTCGGCTGGCTTCATGAATTGCTATTATTTCAGCATGATTTGAAGAAGTGGTAGCAAATTTCTTCGAGATTTTATCGAGAGTAGTGCATTATTTATGACAATTATAGTTTATTCGGGGAGAAATACAGTGGTTCTTCTGGAGCCATCAATCAATTTAGTACTACCACTTATTGTGTTAACATTTGTTTTTAAGTATAATATGTGTAGTAGCACTATCAATGAGACAAATATTATCATCACTATTGTTTGATCCCAAATATTTGGCATCCATTTCTTCTTTAGGAAGAAATGACAAAGAAAATTACAAACAAAAATAAATATCAATAAAGTCCATAAATTATAAAATTCATAAAGAAAATTACATAAAAGATGCGTAAATAACAAAATTCAAAATGTCGGGTATTTATCATGGGATCATTTCGCAACTTCAGGTTGCTCAAGGAAATCAGCTACATCGAGGTGTGTGATATCATCAAGATCATCATAAACATTATTTTGATCAATAAAATTTGTCTCGGTGTTTTTGCCTTTCCCTATTAATGATGCCTGATAGAGGTCAACAAGATGTTTTGTCGTACGACAGGTACGGGACCAATGACCTTCTATTCCACACAGGTAGCATATTTCCTCATAATATTTCTTTTCTTCACTTTTCTTATCATTATTGTCCTACTTCTGTGAGTTGTTTTGTCTTTTGCCACGGTTATGATCATTGTGATTATAAGGCACATATTTGCCACGACCTCATCCACGACAACGACTATGTCCTTAGCCTCTTCCATGACCATGTCCACGCCTACGACCATGATTTTGAGATTGAGTTGCATTTGCTTCAGGGAATGGGCTAGCACCAGTAGGTCGGGATTCATGATTTTTTACTAATAATTTATTATTTTGTTCAGCCAAAACGAGGCATGAAATCAATTCGGAGTATTTCTTAAATCCTCTCTCTCGATATTGCTGCTGCAGGAGCATATTCGAGGCATGAAAGATGGAGAATATTTTTTCTAACATATCGTCATTAGTGATATTTTCTCCACACAATTGTAATTGAAAGGTAATTTTATATATTGTAGAATTATACTGTAGACTATCTAAAAATCACTGCAGATAGCTGATCCCCATCAAACACCAGTGATGAAAGTTACAATTTGACAGCTTTCAGAAGGCTATAATTTAAAAACTTTCATATAGATCGATAAAAATTATAATCTGATGATTTTCACAATAACTGATGAAAGTTCTAATCAACAGCCTTCATAATCAACAGCGAGAGTTACAACCTGACGACTCTCACATATCAAAGAGTTGAAGCAAAGATTACAAAACGACAATCTTTGTAACGCTCTGACAAAAAGAGACTACAAATTAACGGTCTCCTCAAACCAAGACGCGGAAGTCCTCCCCGTGTTTCAGCATCAAGACGCAGCGCCAATTCAACCGCAGACGCAGCTTCTTATCAGCCATCGCTGACATAGTTCAAGCCCACGGATGCAGCTTATGTTCGGTCGCAAACGCAGCCTCCGAAAGCTGCCAAACGTAGCTTTCAAGCTGCCAACACAGCTTCCAAATTACTGCAAACGTATCTTCCAAATTACTGCAAATGCAGCTTCTAAATGCTACAAACGCAGCTTTCAGACGCTGCAAACGAGCTTCCAGACGCTGCGTTTGAACATAGATTTCACGTCAGAACACGGATTTTACGTTTGACTCATTCAAACACGTGCTGAATGGTTTCAAAACTATTTTTCACGATCTGAGGGGATCACAACTCCACTCATGAGTGATTTAAGAGGCAGTTACATCCCATTAGCCCCACAAAGGAGTTTACACCCCCTAATCGCCTATAAATAGCTGAAAGATCAGCTTAGTTCATAAAAGATGGGAGGAGGGGGATATCTTTGGATCTTTGAGAATTTTGGAGATCTAGAGATTGGCTTCTTCGGATCATCTTCTCGGCAACAGATTCTTGGGGTTATCTTTGTGTTTGGCTTGTCTAACCAATTACGATTAAGATCAATCAACTCTTTTACAAGAGTTTAAACTCGTTCTGAGTTATCAACTTGTTCAGAGTTTTGAACTTTCCACGCAAGTCCTCCACAGCGTTAAATCGTGAGGAGAAGATACCGTTCCAGTGAAACAAGACGTTCGGATCGTCAACGAGAAGCAAACTCGACGCAAGTATTCGAGGGAGGTATCTCATCGCTACCATGAAGAACCCAGATTTAAATAAAGGGGAGAATTCAGATCAATTCTCCTCTCTTTTGTAATCAGGAAATTCAATTATAATCGAGATCGAGAGAATACAAATCAAATTTCTTTCATTCTTTTTACTACAAATTTTCCACCAAACATATACACACTGATTGATTTAAAATCTTGTAGCCTTAAATGAAGCCAGTCATACCGGACTTTTGGGAGAACGACCAACTTCAGGTGGTTAAATCTCTCCTTCAAATTATTTCACATAGTAAGTAGATCTTTCACAGTTAGATATTCAGTTTTTAATCCTTCATCCAAATGATGGCGAAAGAAAATCATAGCTTTGGTACGGTCTTGATTTGATGTCTTATTTTCTTCCACAATAGTATTTTTAAGACCCATTATAGCAATATGTATTTCAACATCTAACATTCAAGATAAGTGGTTCTTTCCAGAAATATCAAGAGGCATAAATTCTTGTTATGTAAGGTTGGTCATAGTGAAAAATGAATTAAATTGGAAAGATAAATTTTACCTCAAAGGTTTACCCAAAATACGAACACGTGCCAAATGATAAATCTAATAGACTTGTAATGGATTGTTTCAATGGTAGAGTCTCGTGCTGATAACGTATTGTAAAACTAATAAAGTAGAGTAGAGAAAGTAGACAAGAAGTAAAACGAATTTTATTTTCTCA